TCCCCGGCGGAGAGCCAAAAGATATTCTAGTAAATTGCTCGTGGCTTGTGTGATCCTCATCTTGTGTTGGTTGTGCGGCACCCTATTGAGGGTTTGGCGTGTGATGCCAATTAGCGCGTGAACCTTCAAGTGAGTGAATCACCACAATGAGGACTAGTTTGCCGGCAAGCAAGTGAACCTCGATAAAAAATCATTGTGTCATCATTTGATTCCGAGGTGATTGGTCTTCACTGGTATTCATTCTTGTGATTGTTTGGTTGACTCCTTGACTCAGCGGTATAACCATCTTGCTCACTCTCTTTACATTACCGCAAACTAGTTATCAAGCTCTTTAGTATAGCTAGTTGTGAGAGCTTGTTAGTTTGGTTAGTGTGGCTCTTTAGTTAGCCTTTGAGAGCACACTAACTTAGTGTAGTGACATAGCCATTGTGTGGTTAGAAACTAAAGAAACTAGAATTGTGGTAGGTGGCTTGCATTTTTAGTAGGCTAGCGCAGCACTTGCTTCACCTCATAATTGTCTAACCGATTTGTTAAGTGTTTTTGTAGAAATTTTTAATAGGCTATTCACCCCCCTCTAGCCATTAGGACCTTTCAACTGGCAGATCCCCAGCTCTGTCCCTTTTCTTGAGCAGGGAGACGGAGAAGAAATACCTCCACAACTCAAAGTGGGGCTCAATGCCTAGATACCCTTCGCACAGCGCGATGAAGGTCGCGATGTGCTGGATCTCGTTGGGATTCAGGTGCTGTAGCTCGATCTAATAATGGTGCACCAATCCCTAGAAAAACGGGTGGGGAGGAATAATGAGTCCGTGCTCGTGGAAAGGCGCGAAGGACATGACGTAGTCGTCGGGCAGCGCTGGCACCTCCTCATGACCGGGCACGAGCCACTCCGCCGCGTCGGTTCTCCCATGGAGAAGACCATGCTTGACGAGTCCCTCCATGCGCGCGTGGGTGATGTCTGAGCGATACCACAACTCCATGGGAAGCAAGGGTGGAAGAACATGAGCTTTGCCGGTGGCGGAAGAGCGAGGGCAAGAAATCCCAGTGCTGGCGGTGGAGAAGCGGAGAAGACAAGGTTGTGGTCAGGCATATCAAAGACAATGGGAAAGGCCCCTATTTATAGGGAAAGGTGGAGCGAGAGGCGAACCATCCACCTAGATCGACGTGCCTGCCCTACCCCGTCACTTCGCCTCTTCGAGAATCATGCGCACGCCACCTCTAGCCACTCCCTTGAAGAGCGCACCGGATGATGGTTCGCCCCCTCAGTGGGCCAAGAACTGTAGTAGGTAAGAAGGGATATGGAGCTGAAAACGCTCCCACGGCCCATTAAGGCTAGGAGTTCAAAAGTTAGCCCACCGACGGGTTCACAACTGCTCTAGGGCACCTTTAGAGTGAGGGGTAGTAAGGGATGGGCTCGCTAGCGGCCAATACCTGAGCGCACGAGCGCCACAGGCATCCTGGCCCATGTTTGAGTCTTGGCCGGAGCACAACCCATGGTTTTTCCTCGAAGAAAGGCAACGGGCCCTTGTGACCGGTCAAATGGACCCAAAAACTATACGGACTGGCCGTCAGGAATCTAAAGTTGGTCACCAGCTAACCCATGCCGGACCCCCATGGACAGGAAGCCTAGACCCCACTCAGACTAGCCCATTAACAGCTCATCGAGCACCATGATTCGTCCATTGAGGAAAACATGGCACGGCTCAGCCCCTTTGTTTTGTCGAAAAATGCTTGAGGGAGGACGATCACAAGACGAGCTGACCCCTCGACCGGACTCCTACTATGCGTGGGGGCTCGGGGGAAGTTGGACTCGCAAGGAGACCGAGGATGCGGTCGCATATTGAGGGCAAATCAATCGGATCCTAGGGAGGGATCGGAATCAAGAGAAATCTTTTCTGACCCCCCGAACCCGCAGCTGCATGCTCCCGAAGAGTTCGATCGCAACAGAAACAAATCACAACCCTACAAAGACATCCCATGGCCCGCAAAGAGAGATTAGGGCCCTCAGAGTCCTTCTGTCTGAAAAAGCCTTCAAAGGAGTATCCTACTCCTCCACATGCTCGGGGCTACTTTCGGGTATCGGTATTAGGGATACCTGGAAGAAGGAGGCTGATGGTCAGGAATGCTGACTCACTTGCATGGTCAAGAGTGTATTTTGGTCTCGCCCGACCCTGAGGGCGCGGGCTCCGTCTCACCCGATCCCGAGGGCGCGGGTTCCGTCTTGCCAGACCCCTTGGGCGCGGTCTTCGCCTCGCCTAGCCCCGAGGGTGTGGGCTCCGTGTCGCCCGCCTCTGAGGGCGTGGGCTCTGTCACACCCGACCCTAAGAGTGCGGGCTCCGTCTCGCCCAACGCCTCGGGCGTGGACCTCGCCTAGCCAGACCCCTTGAAGGGGGATTTCGCCTCGCCCGACAGGGGTCCGTACCGCCTCCAGCCACTACGGGTCTAAGAGTACGAACCTAGGGTCAAACTTTTGAGACTAGAAAGGGAGTAGGCGCGTTTTAACGTGACCCACGGCCATGACGGGCCATACCTGAGGGCTCACATCGCCAACAGTGTCGGGCGTGCCGGCTCTATGCTACCTAATCCCCGTACGACTTCCGTCAGGGGTACCTATTGACCATGCTGCCCGCCGGGACGGAATGGGGCGCCACGACCGGCTGACGACGCCCGCGTGTAGCACCAGTGGCGAACAGGGTCGTGACGTGGAGCCGTCTTCGTCATCATCTATAGGACCAGCGGGACCCGTGTAAAGGAGATGAAGGGCGCCGCGACCTCGGAGGCCTTCTTCCTCCTCGCTTTCTCTCTCTCTCTCTCTTGTAATCTGCGCCTTCCCCTTCATCTATAAAAGGGGAAGCAGGACGCCCCACGAAGGGGAGGGCTCAACAAGTTCAACTAGACTCAACTCCATTCGATCCTTCCATCAGAGACTTAGGACCTTCTTCCTCTCTCGCCCGTTTGTAACCCCTACTACAAACAAGTGTCGGTAACACGAGCAGCCTCAAACTGGACGTAGGGACATTCTGCCCAAACCAGTATAACCCCTTGTGTCATCCGAGCACACTATCCGGGCCAAACACGCAAACACAAATTTACTAGTCGGCGGTTCGAAACACCGACAATGATCCTTAAACAGGTTTATAGCGTTACACAAGATATTTTTCTTTTACACTCGCATATTGGCAATCATAATCAGAGTGGCTATAGAATGGAAGGAACTCAAATTGTATCACAAATCAATGTGACTGTTGAGTTATGGTGTGACTTGGTTACACAGTATGATGATTTTGTATCTGAAATCATAATATGAAGTTCATTAGAACTTATATGTCCGAATCAAATTCATTTGATATACCAATAATTAAATATGTGGATATAGTTTCCACACATAACTTTGGGTATGTTATACTTGCTCTTTGTGTGAAACTATATTCTACAGCTCTCAATGTCTCATCACTTTCCTTCCGTAAGGAAGTCATTGTGACAAGAAAGTACTTATCATTGTTGAATGAGAGCATTCTCCTTAATTAACATACTTGATTTGACCAGATTTGAGTGTATGATACACACTTTTGGATTCGATTGAAGCTGTATGACTTCTTTAAGTAGTATTTGTCGATGATTTATTATCTTTGTTTTTCGAACTAGGCCTCAACCCTTTTCCATTACAAAATTGATAGTCTTCCTACGATAATTTAATGGAATCAATATAACATATAAAAAATATCAACTCTTTTGAACTTCATATTATAAAACATGAGCATTATAGGTGCATGGTGGAGTTGTTCTCTCAAGCAAGTGGACAAACAACAGAGAAAATGCTTAGTTAGTCTATTACACTTGTTGCTTTAGAATTATGGAAGCACAATATTAAATGTTTCAGGTTCTATGTGGGCAGGGAGGATAGTGTAGGATGGTGCACCAAATACAATAAATTATAAAAATACGCATAATGGTGGAGCTTGGCCGATAAAATCGAAGGGATAATATATGATATGAAATACAAGATGGGGCAGATTAGTATATCATTACTACTTAAAGTGATAAAACTAAGACATACATTAAGAATTTTTTCTAGCTACTAGGGGGTGGGGGTTGGGGTGGGGAGGCCTACTACGGCCCTCACTAAGCTCCACCACTAAATACGCACACATACTAGAACTTTCTATATTAAAGTCAGAGCTTTCTAGATAGATAAATTATAAAAAACATATCAAGTACGCTAATTTATCGAGTGAAGAAAAACTCATTCTGGATATAAATATATTTTACTGGTCGAACGTAAAAGAACTCTAGCAGATGGCACCAACCTGTGATTAGTCTAAGTCACTGTTCAAGTCTAGCTAAAATATATATTAGAGAAGTTTAATCTAATCATTTTAGTATTTGGTTTCCTTGGCTATCGAGCAAGGATGGCCAACTCGAGATTTTTCCTCATATTATAATCATAATTTTATAAGGTATAAAATTTAGAAAACTAGAGTGGAGGTCTAAATAATTGTTTGACACTCCTGTTCGCGTGTCCTTAAATCTGGCTTGATCCGCTTCTTTTTTTATCTGAAACAGTATTTTTCTCTCACAAATTCCTCCAGCATTTCTCCAAACCATTCAAATTCCTCTAGAATTCCTCCGAGCAAACGTGCCCTTGAATGGCCTGTTCTGGATATAGAGTATCTAAATAGGCACAACAATAAACATAATAATAGTTTGGGAATTTAGTTTTAGAATTTTAAGTTTCCCTCCAGAATTTCTTATCCTATATATTTGAAAGAAAAAATAAAAAAATAATGGAAAATGGAAAACCCTTTAGCCGCGGCGAGTGGTGTCGTCTCCCCGTTGGAAGGGAATTGGACGGGCTTGCTTGGACTCCACCTTCTCCCCTCCGTCGGCGTCTCCTCCGATGCTGGGACTCTGGTGGGGTGGGGATTGACTTCGCTCTAGCCCAATCCAATCCAATCAGCAGCTGCTTCCCGCCGCCCCATGCCTCATCGCGGCCGGCGGCGATGGGCGACGTCCCTCTCCCAGCCCCAGCTCCCCCTATTCCCGACATCGATATGACCCCGCGTCGTCGCCGTGAGCCCTCCGATCCCCGCAGCGACAGCGACTGGGACGCTGGATCCAGCCGCGAGGGCTCCCCCGACCTCCTCCGCCGCGCGCCCGCAGTGCAGATCTCGCGCGCCTCCTCTTCCTCGTCCTCCTGGCTCCGCGAGATCGAGCGCGACCGTGTGCGTCTCGTCAGGGAGTGGGTCCACATGGCTGCCCGCGACCGCGACGACGACGCCGGGCCCCCACCTTCCCCCGTCCCTGAACACGCGCGCAGGGACGCTCCCCGGATCCGCGGCCGCCAGGCGCGCCTCGAGCTCGTCATGCGCATGGCCGCCGACCGCCAAGCCGAGCTCCACCGCCTCTCGCAGCACCGCGCCGTCTCCGACTTCCCGCACCGCAACAGAATCCACGTCGGTGCTTCTTCATTTCTCAACTCACTGTTCCATTACTTGTGACAATATGACTGTCCTACTTTGCCTTTGTCAGATATATCTGACTGACGTGATCAGAATTACCGTCTTTACTGCAGGCGCTGCTCCGGGGTCGGTTTCTACGCAACGGCGGCTTGCCGGAGGAGAGGAGACCCCCATCTGTGGCCGCAAGGGAGCTTGGCCAGCTGCGACAACGTCATCCTGTCTCTGGTTTGAGGTATGTGTCAGCTCGCGTGCTGAGAAAAGAATGTTGAGGCTGCTTCTGCTGCTTAATGGATATATATAGGTTCTTTTTCTTTTCTTTTCTGTTGGGATAAATGGATGTATATCAATGGTTCACTGTTGCTACATTCTGATGCTGTAGTTGGAGGGGTTACATCTTTTAAGGAGTTCATCATGCTTAATATTGCTTCAGCTGTTGCTGCACTTGGCTTTTCTGTTAGTTTGCTCTGCCTTTCGAAGCAGAAAGATACTAGTAGCACATAAAAAATGATAACATAATAAGTGTTGTACTGTTATATGATGCTGATAAAGGATAAAAAGCTTGTGTTGTTAGTAATGTAAACTTTAATTCACCGAGCAGTCAGTGCTCAGCTTCAGATTATTGTTCATATTATCATTTCTAACTTTTCTAACTCCAAAGTGCTAATCATCATGTCATCCTTGCACATCAGTTCCTCTAGCCTTATTTTGGTTGTTTGTTATGTCAAAATAATGTAGGCAAAGACTGATTTTATCTTTTCTTAAAAGAACACCAGAGTTCTATTCGTAAATGTTTGCAACTTTGAGAGCTATTCAGCCATTTTACTATCTTATTACCTCCTTGCCATATTAGACGCATGGTGTCATTTTATCGTAAGACACATAAATGTGTAGCTTAGCTCATTTTGCTAGTATGGAGATATATTTTTGTTCCATAGCGGGTGAACCCAAATTTTATTACTTTTGCAATGAAATTGCATCCATCCCACTGTTAGACTTTACCACTTCCACTGATTAATGGACGCAAAGAAACGATCACAACAATACAACATCACAAAGAGCTCTGTGACTCGTTTCCACCACGGCTAGTCTGATGATGTGATTACATTCTTTAATATGTGGTTTGGACCTAACATATCAGTTAGTTATATCAACTTGTTAGCTAGCTAGTCAATTGATTACTTGTGTCATCTACTTATTCACCCTCTCTCTCTCTTCTGATCACGTTTAGCAATCACAAGCTGGTGCATTCACTTACTATATGGGCAGATCTTGTTAGTGCTATTAAAATGTACTTGTGTAATGCTGCTGAGTTTCATCATGTGCTAAGTAAAATAATAATACTCATTAATTTTAATAACTAGAGAAGAGTTCCGCTTCAGATTGGAGAATCTTGTCCGTGGTCAAGCAGATAGTCAAGTGGATGCTTCTTCAGCTCACGATGTTGAATTATCTATAAATGATCGTTCTGAATTAAGACCTTCTGAAACTACTCAGGAGAGACATGAGCGGACAAGTGAGAATATCAGTCTTCAGCAAATTGACAGTACGGCAACAACATCAGGATTTGAAAGTGGCAGCCCTAGCATTGCTGAAGTCTTCTGTGGATCTCATACTCAAGCAGAAAGTCAGGAAGATTTGGAACATGAGAGAAGAGACTGGCAACAATTTTCCCATGCTGTGATTGGAGACGAATCTGAAAGAAGTTGGCATGAAAATGCAGACAACATCTCTTCTCGTGAGGGGACAGCAGTTGAAGAGGATAATAACGATCATCTTCCAGAAGCAAATGAAGAGTCAACCAGTGTTGATCATCTTCCTGAAGGACTTGAAGAGTCCATCAGCGATGGTAGTCTTCCTGAAGCGCAAGAAGGTCAGCATGACAGTGATCATCTTCCTGCAGTGCTTGAAGAGCTGCATGACAATAATCATTTTCAGGAATCACATGGGGAATGGAGTAGAGATGATCGTCCTATTGAAGTCTATGATGAGTGGCAGAGTGATGATCATCTCCCTGAAGTAAATGAAGAGTTGCATAATGATGACGAGTCTAATGATACTGCAGACAATTGGCATGATAATAATTCTGACCAACCAATTGACCACGATGCTGCTCTTATCAGAAGAGCTAATACATTCATCCCTGGGGATGATGATAATGTGTACAGCACAGAATTGAGGGAACTTCTAAGCAGGTTATTGTTTCTTGCTTAAAGAAAGTTGTTACAAGCAATTTATTTGGTGTTTGTATAAATACTAAAATTGTCTTAATTATGCAGAAGGAGCGTTTCTAATCTTCTTCACAGTGCTTTTCGTGAAAACTTGGATCGGCTTATCCGGGCATATGTTGAACGGCAAGGTCGTGGTCCTCTCCCTTGGGATCTGGAAGGAACAACTCCTGCCCCTCTCTCACCAGATCAAAATCAGGAGCAGCAAAGAGATGATGAGGACCAGGAACTGCAGAACACCGTCAACAGGCCTCCTTTAGTGATACCACCTCCACCTATGCCTCCTCGTCAGCCACTTTGGCATTCAGAGTTGCATCGTAATAATTGGATCAGACAAAACATTCATCGTTCATCTTCTGATATTGTGAGCTATTGCCATTGATATCCTTACCACACGTACATTAATATTTTTCTTTGCTCAATTCATCTTTTTGGTGCTTGGAATACAATACATTTGTTGTTTATGGTGAATTGTAAACCATATTTGGTAGGCTGTGTTTATAGTAGGCTAATGCACTCAATTCTTCTATTTAGATTAAGTTTGGGGAATAGCTTATATGTTATGTGTGGCAAAGGCTCATATTTATTTTGTTTTTTCTGTCCAGGAATGGGAGGCCATCAATGATTTAAGAGCTGATATGGCTAGACTTCAGCAAGGCATGAGCCATATGCAAAGGATGTTGGAAGCTTGCATGGATATGCAGCTAGAGTTGCAGCGTTCTGTAAGGCAAGAAGTATCAGCAGCCTTGAATCGTTTCATTGGGGAGCAAGGTTAGTAAATCAGCATGGTCATGTTTGCTACATTTCCTACAGTGCTGTTACTTGTATGAACTGAGAAAAAAGTCAGGGAAGCAATTTTGAGCATCCTTAATTCCTTATGCATTTGTATGTAATGTCAGCTCTGAAAATTGATGGCTGACCTCTTAAGTCTTGGCATAGCCGTGTGTATCAATCATAGTAACATGAGATGCAAATGCTAACTATAGCTTATCTTATTTGAAACATATAGCTAGGATGTTGAACATCTTATGCTATGGACTGGTTTCAAATTGGCACATAGTTTAGGATAATAAGGTACCCCAAACACATTACTTGTATCTGTTCCATTGAATTGCAAAGCACTTGTTTGTGATATTATGGAATGCTGATTTGGTGCATCTATAGAGCAAGGGAAGCATTATACACTAATTAAGTTGATAATGTGCGTAATTATGTCATACTTGAGTTGGTATTGCATATATGGTATTGGTATTGCATTTCACTTTCCATACATCCACCTATATGCATAATTGATATTTCAGGTGGTGAAAGTAAAGAAATAATTGACGATGGTTCGAAATGGATAAATGTGAGAAAAGGAATCTGCTGCATATGCTGTGAGACTCCAATTGACTCCCTTCTGTACAGGTTTGGCTCGCATTAACAATGTTCTATTATTTATTGGATGGGAGTGTTGACTCATAGTATATATGTTGGTAGTGGCTGTGAACTTGTTTTTTGTGTTTATTACTGATCAGATGTGGGCACATGTGCACATGCTCAAAATGCGCGAACGAATTGGTTCGAGGTGGAGGGAAATGCCCGCTGTGCCGCGCACCCATAATCGAGGTGATCCGAGCATACTTCATCATGTAGATACAAGAAAGACGACAAGACGATAGAAGAAGCCTGAATTGTTTTTGGTCTCAGTGTGGAGTTGTTAACGGGTGGTGTATGATTGTATTCAATTTTGTTCATTCTCTCTATCTAATGTGTTGGTTAATTTTTTTTTTCTCTGGGTTCATTTCGTTTTGGTCTGCCTGCCCTATTGTAAGTAATGTACGGTTTTGGGTGTGGCGGCAGAACGGGAGACGGCGGTCTTCTCTAATTGGGACTTGGGTCACTGCTAATTTTTGTTCCGCAACGAGTCAACGACTAATGGTGGTTGGGGTGGTTGAAACATGAGAAAAGGAGGAAATTACTGGTATCTTTGTTCGTGCCGCACGGTGTGCGGCTTGGCCTTGTCCGCCTAGGAATGTTTTGTGTGATTTTGATGTGGGTCTTGGCTAACTTAAGATATGGTGGTGGTCATGATATTTCAGGTCTCTAGTTCGTTGATGGATGTGGAAGTGGTGCTCTGTATCATGGGGGATGCTTCCCAGATGCTTGATTTTTTTTTCTCAGTCGACAACTGAGATCTTGTTTGGCTGCACTTCAATCACTCCAATTCATATGTGCGGAGGTGGAAAATTAGAGTGCAGGCAACAAAGCCTGAACTAGATTTTGACCCAACTGTACGGAACATTATCACTAGTGAGTTTCTTTTACCTTTGTCTTGAAAGACATTGCGGCGCCTGCCTCTTCGGTTCCACCTTTCTGCCACGATATTGCTGTCTGCGCCACCACGTCCCCTTTGTTTCCCCCTGCTCCTGCATGCCCTTTGTCGCGCGTGCGTTTTTGGCGCCCATGCAGGGCCCGTGTCGCCCGGATGTCGCCAGCGCTGCTAGACCGCGTGCGGGACCGCTCGCGCCCCTCTGCCGCCTGCATTAGGTCTGAGGCGCCTCAACAGCTGCTGCGGGTGGCTGCGGTAGGTAGGTCGTGTTGCTACAATGCAACATCAGATCTACTTTTTGAAACATACACATGTATCATTTGAAACATTCGTCTGAAAAAGCTAGATGAAACATTTAAAACATGCATACCTAAAAACATTTGAAATCCATTGCAAAACATACGTAACATACAGATAAAACACTTACAACATATGTGTGAAACATATGCAACATTCAGACTTGCAACATGCATCTGAAAAAATACATAAAACATTAGAAATAGAACCTTGCAACATACGTGTAAAACCATTGCAACATATGCAACATCCCGATCCACTTTTGTAACATTCATATAAAACACTTGTAACATACCTATGGAACATCTAAAACACTTGAAACATACTCTTGAAACATGTGTTGTTCATCCTTCTTCTTCTTCCGGATGACACAAAACAGATGATAGGAACGGCAGTCGGTTCAAGAAGCCGCGCGCCGAGGATGGTGGCGCGACCGGCAGCGGCGCCACCGTGTGCACGTGCTCGCCAAAACGACGGCCCTCTCCTCCGCGCCAGCCACACACGTGGTGCCGGGTGCTTTGCAGCTGCGCGTGTGGCTTCGCTGGTGAGCGCGGTGGAGAGGGAGGATGTAACGGAACCGACCAATTATACGAAATTAAGTAAGAAAATCATCCGCCAGAGCAGACGATTTAGCAAACTTAAGCCCGTATAACCCGGTAGTCCGTGAAATCACGAAGGATTTCAAACCAACTTCCATTCCAGCCAAGATCGTAATAAGTTTAGCGGTCACCATCACATATTACATAAAAGTTCGCAATCTCGGATACATCGAGTTTCAACATAGTTATTACAAAACCAGTTCAATAAAAAGTAGCGGAAGTCATTTGTTCAAACCACACACACACTCACGCTTGAGTTTAAATATAGTGCCAAATGAATGATCATCTCCAACAAAAGCATCGACAAGACGTAAGGAATGACCATGCCCATGGTCCTAAGCATCACCCATCGCAGGATACTGAGCGGTTGATACAATGAGTCGTAATACATCTGCCCATCTGCAATAAGTGGGAATAAAACCCTCAGTACGAGAAGGTACTCAGCTAGACTTACCCGACATAACCGAAAATAAGTGACACCAAGGATTATGAAGGGCTTTATAGTAGGGTAGCTGACTCATTTGCAAAAGAAGCATTTTTAGCATTTCAAGAACCCTTCTAAAAGCATTATTGTCAAGTTAATTATTATTAACCTGTCAACTAGATTTGCACCTATACTAGAATAAACATGTGATTAAGCAGATAATGATAACCAATGATCATTAAACAACTTCCAAACTGTCATATTCATTATAACTATCCAAGTGTTCCATAAACATTTACTACGATGAAGTAACTCAAGTCAAGTGCTCACTATCCAGGAGCGATGGCGATTCGAATTGATTCCTAACCAGCTGGTGATTTATTCCTTACACAAACCTCACTCACCCGCTAAAGTGAGATATTGATCACCGAGTCAACTTTCCAGATATCTCGAGTTTGCTAGGAACCACATGTACCCGGGGGCCGACCGACTGCACTTTGGTCTTATCATCTCACCCCCGTGTCCTACCACACACTGCTCCGCTTCCCGCAGACAAGGCGTTATGGGCAATCTACTCGGCCCGAAAAATCTCCCGGCTTTCATGCGGTCGGAAGGTACTTTATCCGCCAACTAAATGTAAGGCATGCGTTCAACATGACTAGAGGCCCAACAACGGTCGATCCTTAATCGACCGCAGACGGAAAGCACTACAAATCAAAACTCGCAAGTCTCCGTCCGGTCTCAACTTCATTTAACACTTAGTTATACCATGACTTCATAGTCATCCAAGCGAGATCCGTAACCACCTATAGCTCAGCAGTGACGAGAATCACCCGACTTCTACCGGTCTAAGCCAACTAAGCATTGACTCGACTGCGGATACCCGGGTAACAAGGATATAGCATAACAAAGGTAGACAAGGTATAATGCAGCAACGGTTGCAAACAACTCATGAACGTAATACATCAATTTAAAGTAAAGTATTTAATTAAATCATTGCAAACCGGGAGAAAAATGCTCCGAGGCTTGCCTCTCTCGAAGGAGCTCGGACGGTGATCAGGGCACTCCAGAAGTTCCTCAACGTCCTCCTCGTCGGCTTCGGGCACTTCCTGCGGCTGGACCTCGAACTGCTCCTCGGGCCCCTCGGGTATGACGACTGGGTTCTCGGTTTGCGATCCTGTATGATGCAATGCGTGTAAGTGCTTATGCAATCGGTGCATCGGATGAGATGAATACAATGGATATTTTTGAATGCAAGGTAGTCAACATCATCCAAAAAATATACTACAAGCACATATAATCTACTGCATTCTCTTCTACTACTAATATGTTTAAGGCAACACATCTTATCAAATGCTTCAAAGATACACCAAAGCTAACATTATTAACTAACTTGCATTAAAGAGGATTATTTTATTTCATTTTAAACTAGGGCTACAACAGCAACCTATATTTCTGGTGCTTATAAAAATCTAAGAAAATTACAGTAGTATAGTACTATCCTAAGTAGTTTACTAACAGATTTTCATGATATTTGAATGAGTGGATTAGTCTACACAAAAATAACAAGCTATGGCATGATTATGAACATGAAAATACTTTGTACTGTGAAAAGTGTCAAACAATAGAATTAGTATTTTTCCTATGTTCTTCATAGCATACAATGACTGTACAAAATTTATCACATGCATGTTTTATACAAAGTTTGCTCTCTAGCTAAAATAACAAAAATCAGCCCTTAAAGGTACTTGAACTACACCTCAAAATTTTCCCATAGCTCATGCATGAAACATATTTTTCCTAGGAAGTATATTACATAAGAAGATTAACAAACTTGGAATCATATTTTTCTAAAGCCTATAGATTTTTCTACACATTTTTCAAATTATCAGCAATATACATGATTAAATAAAGTTCTACAGAAAAGTATCTCAAAAATGACATGCAATAATTTTCCCAAGTAGATCTGGTGATAAGGAACCTAGCAAAATTTGTTTCAACAAATTTGGAGCCAAAATGAGTACACAAACATTTTCCAAAGTTTTTAACAAAAATCAAAAAAGCATCTTTTAAATCCTTTTAAAAGTCAGCCGACAAAAATATCTGGTGCACCGTGTCTGTGCACCCAGATTCGATCCAGGGCGCTTGACGAAGGGCCCCACGGTCAACGGCCCCACCTGCTTGGTCAAACCGAGATAGGGCGGCACGACCGGCCAGGCTCTCGCCGACCAAGCGAAGCTAGCCAATGGTGGTCACCACCAAGAGCTCTCACCCATGCGACGAGGCAAACACGGTGCACACAAAGAGAAAGCACAGGAGGAGCTCGGGATAGGGCTCGACGGCGCGAGATAAGCGGAGCGGCGGCTGCTTCCCGACGGCCATCATCTCCGGCCGGAAGGGCGCGAAAGGTGGTCTGGGGAGCTTCACCGAGCTCGTCTGGGTGGTCGTCGCGCGAAAAGGTAGCTAGAAGAAGGATGGAGGGCGAGGTCCATGGAGCGGGGCGCCCGGTGAGCTTCAACCAACTCTCGTGAGAGATTCCTAGGGAGAGGGAGCTTCATCACTATCGAGGCGAGCACGAGGTGCGCGGCGATGAGAGTCGAGATGCGGGCAAGATGGAGGGTTCAATGGCGAGCTAGGACGGCCGGGCGAGCGAAGCTCGGTGAGGGCGGCGCATGTGGCTATGGCTATGGTGGCGCAGTGAGAGGCAGAGAAGGCAGCGGAGAGAGGAGAAGTGAGGAGCTACTGAATGCGGTGGGCGCGCATGGGGATTCAAGTCATGGCCAGCAGCAGGGACAGGAGGGCGCGGCGTGGTCACATGGGTCGAGCTCGAGAGCTGGCGGCGACGAGGCGGCGCCTGGCGGCAAGCCAGCCACGACGCGATCGGCGGCGTGGCGGCGACACGGCCTGGGAGAAGAGAAGAAGCACACTGTGGGCCGGGCGAGGCGGGTGGGCTGGAGCGGCATGGCGGGGGCTTATTGGCCGGCTTTTTGGCCGTGGGCAGGCTAAGCTAAATGACAAGGAGGGAAAAGCCTTTTTCATTTGTATTTTCAAGAAATTTTTAAATGCCATCTTTCAAATATTATTTTGAGCAAGAAAATGACATCTTTTGAAAATGTACCAAAAATGAAAGTTGCTTAGAATTTAATTCTCTACAACTTTGCTTTTATGACCAAAGCCAAATTCTTTCTAGATTTTGAATTGTAAATTCAAAGTCCAAGTTTAACTCAAAATCCTAATTTTTGGGAATTTATTTTTGAAGCCAAATTTTGAATTAATTTGAATACAACCTTGCTCCAAAAATTTGAACTAAACAATCCTAGATGATTTACAATAGTAGCCAACCATGTTTTACTAACCTAGCAAGCAAAATCAGGGTAAAACAAGTCTAACAAAGGTATGCAACATTCAGGTTTCACGTGTTTCCAATGTTTCGAAGTAGTGTTTCAATTTTTATTTACATGATTAGGCATGTGTGATTAGAATGCTTGATGATGCATGATATGCATGATTTGCAGTGACTAAATGCAGGCATAACACCGGGGTGTTACAGAGGAAGGCGTCCGTCAGCGCTCGAATGTGGTGAAGATAGAGGATGAAGGAAGGCGCGGGGGAGACGGAGAGTGCGCCGTCGGGGAGCGATGTGAAAAGGAGCAGGGCTCGGTGGTCGGTGCAGGCATTGCGGCGCAGCGATTGGGCAAGGAAGAAAAAAACTGCGCTCGTTATTTTTAGCCATGAGGGGGAGCAGGTCGGGCTGATCCGTAGGCTAGAAAGCCAGCGTCCCGTCGGACTAAGGCTTTGTTTAGTTCCTTCCCTAAAGTTTATTTTCTATCTCATCAAATATTTTGACAGTATTAAATATATACTAAAAAAATAACCAATTACACAGTTTGCGATTAATTTGCGAAACGAATCTTTTAAGTCTAATTAGTCCATGATTTGACATGTGGTGCTACCGTATATATGTACTAATGACGGATTAATTAGGCTTAATAAATTTATCTCGTGGATTATTAACAAATTCTATAATTTATTTTTTTAATTAATATCGAACACTCCATATAACATCTTACGTCACACCCGATATAACTCTCCATACTTATATGCTCTTGATTTAAACAAGGAGCATCTCCTGTGTTACTTCGCTGCCGCCTGCGCGGTCATCGAACTGGTGGTCCCAGACTCCCAGTACCAGCGGCTTCCATCGCAGGAGCACGGGAGGCCTGCAAATCTGCTAGCGTGTTCGGCTGGGATGAAGTACTGTTCATGCTGGTACGGATTTACTGTTCGCGCTGGTATTTTGTCAGAGCAAAACACTGTTCCGACAGGAAAAAAAAGTCATCCAGCCAGCCCATCTTTACCAGCCGTTCTCTCACAAAATACCGGCGTGAACAGTATCCGTACCAGCGTGAACAGTACTTCATCCCAGCCGAACACGCTCGCAGATTTCGGCCGCGAGCGAGAGCACCTGTGGGCTGCGACCGGGCCCATCCTATATATTAAATAAAGGAGCGCCGTGCCGCCGTCCCACCTTGAATTGAAGTAGAGAGAGAGGCACGGCACGGCGAGCAGTGGTCCTTCGCCATGGCGACTCTGGCGGCCAGCTCCTCCGTGTCCGACGACACCGACTCCGACTCCAACTCCGACTCCTCTCAGTTAGTCCCTCTCCCTAGTCCCTCCCCCAAACCCTTCCGATTCCCCGCGACCCCGAGTTCAATCTACTCCATGGGAGACGATCGATTTGGTTCCCTTCCCTTCTCTTTCGGGGTGCTCGGGGAATCGGGATCGCATTTCTGCATCGCGCGCGCTTGACGCTGTTACTGTTGTGGGCATTGATTTCACTCTTCCATGTTGCAGGTGCAGCGAGGCAAGCACATGGGATTCTCAAGGTACTTCCTACTAGTTCCTTCTGCCTGCTGCTCCCTCCCCCTCCCATTTCTCTTTGCTCCCATCCCAACATATGCTCGCGGTTTTCATTAAAGTCATTACATTAGAGAAGCAATGCCAGGCCTGCTTTGCCGGTTCATGCCTCCATGGACAGCTGGACCCTGCGCTCCAGAAATCAAACAGCCAAAGCAGATTTCCTCTTTTGCTCTTTTTTTCAGATGCAACTGCCATCTATCCCGGATTTGTTTTAGTGCGACCTACGGTGTGGGTTTTGGCAGATTATAACCGGTTCTGGTCTTCTCCTGTGCAGTGTTAAGCAGGCACGCTGAATGTCTGGAGCTGGAGGAGTTGACTGCAATATCAGTCAATCCCTGTCTGCTTCCAGCGCTCAATCAGTTGCTTCTCGAGGCCTATGCCATTCTGCGTCCCAAGCCACTTGACTATGACCAGCGCAACACATTGGTTGATGTCTTCAGGGAGATGGTGAATCGAAGATTTGGTATGTTTCCATTTGTTGCACATTATCGATTATTTGAATATAGTCATAAACTTCTAGCCTCCAAATTCATCCCTGATAAGTAGTAATATGGATGCTGACTGGTGATTAATTATAAAATTTGCAGTTGTTCTCTCTCTGAGAAGTCTCTTTATCCATTTATTTTTATTATTTTTCAAAAACTCTCTTCATTTTTGAGTCTGTGAAATCAGTCACTCCATGTATGGAGGAAAATCTAGGTGATTCTGGGGTGTAATACCAACACAATGCTGATAGTAGTAGTTTATATCCTGGCCTGTTGCATCAAATATGTTCAGGTAATTCGATATATCATCACACACCACCTGTTGTTTCACCATGTACTGGTTTAAGTATTAGGAAACATGGAGAATTTTCCAAAATGAAAAGGGAATGCATAGATTTTGTATTGATCTATTGCCAATCGGCTCCTAAAAGTACAGAACTCTATTGGGGATAAACTCACTGAGCAATGACACAGAGCATTGTGTGGACTCTTGTACTTGTAGATGTTCAGGAAATCATGTACCAATCACATTGGAACACTGAACTTCGTCTCTTACATGTTGATTTGACCTTTATTTAACTCTGATATCAGGTAGCAACAGTGGGCCTCCGGTTGTGGAACCATTTGGATCATTCACGATGGATTTATTTACTCCTCATAGTGACCTGGACCTCTCTATCAATTTCAGTGCTAATACTGATGAGCGATATACTCGCAAGCAAATGATCTCTATTATCAGGAAATTTTCCAAGGTTCTATATTCTCATCAGAGTAAGTATTTCCCCAGACAGAATATTTTCAGATATTCATTGCATGCCCATTGATATTTGTAAATATATTCAACCTTTTCTTTTCTGATCCATGCAGGGAGTGGAATTTTCTGTGGGGTTTTACCTATTGTAAGTGCTAGGGTGCCTATACTGAAGGCTATTGATTGTGGTACAGGGATCAAATGTGATATTTCGGTTGAAAATAAAGATGGCATGACAAGGTCAATGATCATCAAATTTGTTTCCTCACTTGATGAAAGGTTTCAGATACTAAGTTACTTGGTAATGCAATCTTCGTTTTCTTTCTAATTAGTAACTTAGCAAAGCTATGTGCCGAATTGAAACTATGTGACAACAATCTTTTCATTTTCCCATTTGTTCTTCAGGTTAAGTTCTGGGCTAAGGTACATGATTTGAATAGCCCAAGACAACTAACAATGAGCTCCATGTCAATTATTTCACTAGTTGCTTTTCATCTTGCAGGTACCATGGGTTAATTATTATTTTGGTTTGGTTATTAAATTGCATGTAACTGTCCCATTACCTTTTGTTTTGATTAATTGACCTACTAATCAATCTGTATTTGAAGACACAAGCTTTGGATTCATTTGTATAGAAAATCAAATAAAACTTATTGGGGAAATTATAAATTATCTCCTTTAATATCGACAAATTCTGGATAGGATTTATGCTAGTTCAGAAAACATGATAGATATCCTTCTGCTACACTTCTTCAGTCTGAATTCCTACACTTCATGCTATTGCATTTTATCCACCAGAAATTGGATTTTACTCCATTTACCTTTATGGTAGTGTTTGAGTAGCAACTCATTAGATACATGGCTAAGAATATAAACATCAATGTGCAGTGCAGACCCGGCATCCTCCAATATTGCCTGCGTTCTCTGACTTGTTAAAAGGTTAACTTCTATCATGCTTGCTCTTTGTTTTTCCTTCTACTGGCATCATTCTGCTAACTTTTCCACTGAAACCAAGGATAATTTCTATATTCTTACTCTTGCAGATGGGTTAGACTGCACAAGTGTTGAGAGGAACGCTTTACTGTTTAAGGGTTTTGGGAGTAAAAATAAAGAATCTGTGGCTGAACTGTTTGTATCATTGATAAGCAAAGTGAGTAACTATAAGGTTCATCTTCCTAATGTTTGTGGTTGAAGTTACTTGCCATAATTGAATCTATATGAACATGTTTTTATAGTTGTTCCTTGGTATGTTGGATGAGCTCTTCTCATACACACATGTTTACTGTACATAGTTTTTTTTTACAACAAATGGGAGATTTAGATAAGCTCGAACTACATTTGCAGCAAATCTCAGTATGTACCCATGTTGACATGTTATTTTCTGTACTTGTTCATTTTAGCCATGAACTATGGTCTGAGGCACTAATTGTGCCATACCCCTGAACTTTAGCTAGTTTAGCTTCCTTTTTTTTTGTCAGTACTGCATTGGCCAATAATTTTGTTTTATAGTTTTAGGGCCATGCCCCAGCCTTTCAATTAAAATCAAAAGACCAGAAGTGTTTACAACTCAAGTTCAAGAACCAGCAACATCCCCATCCGTCTAAAGTTTACAAAGCAATCAGGAAACCATAACCACATGATAACTATCCATGTGATCAAGGACAGAAATGCAAAGCTTACGACCTGAACCACAAAACTACTGCTAAACTTCAGACTTCAGAGAAGCACCAACGAAGGCCCACCTCATGAAACTTGCCACCCTCAAGACCTTCAATACCGGTACCTCCATGCACCGCGCTGTCCAGGGCAATAAAGCCCACATGCCGTGGAGAGAAGCACCTCATATTAAGATTATCACATGAGAGTTTGCCAGATCTTTGAGCGCCTTTATCTTCTGAGTCAGATCTTGCAACATTTTGATAAACGTCGTTATACTCCACTGCATTTCTGAAAACAAATACCATTTCTAAGCCCCATAAGGCTGCAGAGGTCATACAATTATGAATAAAAAACTTCTTGTTGCTCCGCCACATACTACCAAATTGTAACAGTGATTTATTTTTTTTATATTCACCCTATTACAAATTATAAGATGTTTTAGGTTTTCTGGATACATAAGTTTTACTATGCACTTAGATATACATCGTGTCTAGATATATAGTAAAAAACAATATATCTAGAAAGTCAAAACTCTTATAATTTGGAATGAAGTATTAGTTTGCACTTGTTTTATAATGGTATCAGGTTTTGTTTTTTTTGTTGAATGTGTTATTGGAAATGATTGTGTTCACTGATAAGGGCCATAAATCGGCCTTGTCCTGCAGCTGTTATCAGCAGAGAGTTTATGGGAGCATGGGCTGTGCGCCAGCAATTTTGAAGCATCATGGATCTCCAAGACCTGGAAGAAAGGAGCCGGCAATTTAAGTGTTAAGTATTTGTGTATCGAGCACTAACAAGTAGCAAAAGATTAGACTCTTACCCTGAAAAAGCACACAAACACTAATTTTGCTTCTGTTTATGCAGGTTGAAGATTTCTTGGACCCATCGCAAAATTTTGCAAGGTCAGTGGGAAAGGTGCAGATGCAGAAGATTTGCAAATGCCTTAGAGAATGTGCTTTGAACTTGTTAGATTTCATGAGGGGAAAATGGACTCAATGAAGCTGAGGACCCTTTTATTTGGGCGGCTTAGCCCAGATGAATTAGTCAGCAAACCTCGTTTGGAGCATGTCAAGAGAAAAAGGAAGTGGGGACTGACCCCACAGGGAAGATGTGTGTTCCAGAAGAGTGCACAGCATGGTGGTAGTGCTACTAGCAGTGATTCGTTACCCACTGCTAACAAGGTCTTGCCTCACGCGCTCCATTATCGAGTGGCCGGCCAACAGTCTAGCATTCATCAGTTTGTGCCCATTATTCGATGGCCTCGAATCATTCCTTCTGGTTTTGGCTATGGATTATCGCGTGGGATTCCATCTGTTGCTCCTCACCTTGGCAAGGGAATACTGGGCAAGCCACCAAGTAATATACTTAAATCAATGGAGCTCAACTCAACTAGTGCACATACAGCAAAAAGGGCGCTTCTGCCGACTCCACACCAGCATACATGTCAGCAGTCATGTAGCGGAGCTTATGGAGCCGAGCAGCTCCGGCACAATGATAATGTCCGGTGATGAGCAGCTCTAGTAGCGGTTTGGTGGAATTTGCGGTTAGATTTAATGTGGAGCTCTCTCTTGTGTTGAGGCACTTTTCATTGCTCTTGTTTGACCCAAGTGATAGTTTTTTTCTTCTCTTCACCGAAGGGACCATGACGCCTAATAAAGAATTGAATTAGGCAACTAAAAAAATTAATAAGCTATAAAACCTACCTATCGAAACCTATGCAAAATACTATCTAAATGTGCAATACGGTTTTGTTAAGTATTGCTATCTTTAACGTAAAAAGCTTTGCACTCTCTGTTCTAATCCTATTAACCAACCTAGCAAGCTAGACTAGGAAATATAAACACATAGTCAAGAAATTCAAGTAACGAGCCATTTGGTTGCCTCAAATGTAACGCAACCATTATGTATTACCGTTACACTTGTTTGCTTCCCACCGTCTGTAATCAGTATTATCAGATCCTATTTCCATTTTTAGATAAAGATCGAACCACTCCCATTACAATGGTATCTGATTTCATTTCCTTTGCATTACCATCTACTGAACCAAACACAACATAAGTGTGGAAACGCAAATTGAGTTAGAGAATGTAAATCCCCGCAATGATGGTGTTTCGTGAGGTATTGAGAAGCTCATGCTTTCCCTAGTTTTCGTTAGAGCCCCTTGCAAGGGTTAAGTTGTTGGTACGGTAACTCCATAGATAGCCTATAAGCTATATATCATAACCCTTTGGGGGCACAATAGTCTCTTTTTCCTTTGGGTTTTGGGCGTTTAGGTTCTTGAACCCCTTGTCCCTCGCTTAGGGAGAGTGGAATCTTGGTTGGTGATGGTGGGTTAGGTATTGGCTCTTTGGGTTTCGATGCTTCTTGCTTTCTCGGTTGTGGTTGTGCCTTTTGAGTTGGTGACGAGGGTCGATTATGTTCTCGCTCTTCAAGACACAGTAGCTTTTACTCTAACGATCTGAGAAGCGACGTCGAAGGAATGGGATCATTTAACCTGATATCTCATTGAGGGCAGAAGTATGAACTTGTTGATAGCTTGTCCGAGGTTCATGATCCTCTCTAAAGTAAGAATGTCTAACAAGTCGTTTTGATGGCCTGACACGACTGTCAGCACTTGTACCCTGCCATACTCATCAGTAATAGGCTGAAAATGAAACGTGCGGCCTGGAATCGCCAAGCTAGTGGAAACTTCTAACGTCTGAACATTGGTGATACCATATGCTATAACTAGCGAGCAAGCTGTTAACCCAACAATGTCATCATCTAGATATCGCTCCTTGTTTGCCATAAGTCCGATATTGCGATATTGCCAAAAGTCCGATATTGCCAAACTGGCCCTAAATTATTCAAATGATTGAAATAAGAAAGAGAGATGCATAAGAAAAAAATATTTGCTCGATTGTCTCAAATAATATTCTATATGAATAGATATTACAATCACAACACATAATTTAATATATAGATATGGATAACTAATTAATCTATTTTAATAAAGAAACTCATCATCTAGATACGACCTATTCCCTACTCCCTCCGTCTTAAAATATACTCCCTCCATCCTGTAATATAGTACATTCTAAAAAAAATTAAGACAACTTAAGAGAACACTCGATGACGCATGTACCCGTAGATTATATCCAATTAACGAGTTTCTCATGGAATTATGGTTTCCTTTTAAACAAACTTTATCAAATCTAGGCATAGTCATTATATAGAATGCACTATATTTTAGTATAAATTTTAAGTCAAAATCCACTATATTTGAAGATGGAGGGAGCAGTACATTCTAGCATTTGAATTTATCCAGAAATATAGTGCATTCGGGGAACAAGAAGATAATGTTTACTTAAATAAAAATAAATGATTATTTTGTATAAGAAAAATAATTTATGTACTTGCCATACTTTGTATAAGGGAACTGAGAGTTCACCCTTTAATCATGCATAATAGAATTAGATTTCAAGATTATTAGGAAGTTAAGTGATGGGTGCAAGCGTCTATTGCACTCTGTCGGTGTTTGATGACCTGCAACTCGTCACGGGGTTACCCGGGACGATGGTTGGTGAGCTTCGGCATATGCAGAACTCGACGGTGAATGCAGAGACAATAATTTATACTTGTTCGGTCCACCGGAATAGCGTCCCTGCGTCCAGTCTGGGTGGAAAATATATTACACCCTACGCTTGGGGTTTAGACCGTGAGGTCTATTCCTCTTTGCTATGCCGATCTAGGGAGCCTTTCCCTCCTTTATATAACCCAGGAGGCAGGTCTTCTAGTCGGTTACAATATAAGAGTCATAGTAGAATTACAGGATAGCAATGTTACTAGAATTACATGTAGAGAATTCCTAGTCGGACTAGATCTTCTCCCTTCTTTGCGGGGTACCCGGGGACTATGTCCCATGAGCTCCCGAGCGCTGATCTTGGAAGCCTTCTTGTTCCTCCAGGTCTTGCCGAGTAGAAACAAGCTTCATCCAAGTGCTTTCTGAGACAAACCATGTAGTGCTTCTTGAAATCTTCGAGTGGTGTGCACTTTAAAAAAAAAGTGCACTCACTGAGTGTAGCCCCCGAGCCTCTTACTGTTTGGAACAAAGAATTGGAGGGTCTTATCTGCAATTCCTTTTCGAAGAAATTTGAATGCATCCTTTAAAGATATATATCCTGCAGCCCCGAGCCTACAATCCGATAACTCGGTAATCGATTATAGGATCTTGTAGATGTCCTCAAGGGTGCAGCCGAGTAATCTCCCGAAGACAATGATCAACGACCGCTTGTCGTCGAGTGGTTGAAAGCTTGTAAATTTGGTTTTTATCCTTGAATTCGAGCTCCCGAGACTAGTTGGAGTGAAGTCGAATAAGCTGCTATCTTGTCGTCATCTTACATGCTGCTGTAGGCCGTGTATCTTCCTTTGTTTGCTATTGGATGCAGCCCCATTGGGAAGGGTAGCGTTGCTGTTGGCAGCTCGGCTTGAGCCCCGTCTCGTTCCTGGCGTCGGTTTACGAGGATAAGGCATGCCCCTGTGTCCCACGTGCGTCTGCTCCTTATTTGCTTGCTGGTTGAGTGTAAGCGGCCGCTACATGATGCCGCTGTGGAGTCCGAGTAAAGCAGCCCGCAGAGGGCGCGTGTCTCATCCAGCGGCGTGGTGGCCGAGTAAGTAGCCTGCGGAGGCACGTGCCTCACCCAATAGCATGGTTCAGATCTGGTCCTCTGTAAAATAAATATACAAAAATTTATAGGTATTGATATTTAGGATATCAAGTTAGGAGTAGGTCTTATGCATGTAAAATATAGGTTGGGAGTGAATTATTATGAAATGCATATAAATTTTTACGTCTTGCTCTTGTTAGGCGGTGTAAATTCCTCAAGTAGTTGAGCCCGTATGTGTAAGCACTTGTATCTCCGGCTTATGGTTGTGAGGTTTATGACTGTGACCGTACGAGCCGTGCGAGTAAATGCGTCACAAATATGAGTTCGTATTACTCAAGTAATTTTACAACCGTTAAGAGGAAACTAGAACAGTCGGCGTTGCACGAAAAAAGAGAATTCGTGTTCAGTGCATGTTATACATCCGTTTGGTTTAGTTCCGACTATAAGCTCGGAGCTGTATGGGTAGTCGGAATGCAACTAAGATATGGCCGTGGAGGCACATGTATAATATCCGAAGATATATAAAGAGTAAAGAATATTTGAAAAATATTAAAGCATGACTTAGCTTGATTGATGGCCACGTAGAGGAATCAGCGTACGATCTTGATGTGTTGGGATTGAGAACCCCCAGGCGTCATCTTGACCTTTGTAGCCGAGTAGTCGGTCGCTGTGGCCGAGTAGTGGATCAGCACGGATCAGTAGCCGGACACCCACGGCCGAGTAGTCGGTCGTTGTGTTGATCGGTGAGCCGTAGTATCCGAGTAGATAGATGTGGGCTCAACTGCTCGCTTGTGGCTCGAACAGCTCGCTTGCAACTCGATGCAGTCGGACAGCTTGGTATAGTCGGACAGCTTGGTATAGCCGAAGAGGAGTCAGACGGCTTGCTTCTGGCTTAGTCGGTGCGTGGAGTCATAGTCCGATGAGTACGCGGAGCCATAGTCGGACGAGTGCGCGGATCGTGGAGAGGCGATGGCTTCGGGCGTGTCCGACGAAGACGTAGTCGGTGCATAGTAGCCGAGCGAGAGGCCCCTCGGCGTCTCCGAGCTGGAGTCAAACTCAGTCATCGAGATGGAGTCAGCAGGGTCTGGTAGTCGGACGTGGTTTGTATGACTGCATGCATATATATACATATACAGTGCCGGTCCTAGAATTTTAAGGGCCCTCTGATGATTTAGTCGCAACGGCCTCTCTTAACCATGTATAAAATCTTATAATATATAGGCGCTAATTTTACTTGGAAAACGAAAGCAAATTCAATAACATATTTTTAATTTAACATGTCTGATAGTTATCAAGGAACAATATAGATTAAGCAATATATTTGTAGATATATGATAATTATCGAGCAACAATGTAGATTAAAAAAACAATATATTCGTTTTCTTTTCTCACCCATGACAAATGTTTCTTAGGTAATATTCTAAAATTCTAACACCTAAATTAGAAGAAAAATATGACTATATAGATACAAAGTACTAGAAGTCTGGAATACTATACAAATAATTAATTTGAATTAAAAATAAAAAGAAAAAAAATACCTTGGGCCTAAACAACTGATCGGTGATCGCAATTCATAAGAAGCCAAGAATCAAGATGTCGTCGTCGTGGAGCCCTGCCTGGTTGCCGTCCTCGTGCGCCGTGTCCGTGTCTCCGGTAGTCTAGCTCTTCGCGGTGGCGCGACTCGCCAGCTCCTCGTGTGTAAGGCGCACGTCGCGAACTCACGATCAGAGTGTGTTGTGTGCAGTGTGACTTCTCGCCTCCTCTCTACCTAGGGCCGTGAGAAAAAAAAACTTGGAAATAAATATCGATGTTGTATTTTTAGGTCATCTGGCCAGTTTTATGTCTCTCTTCTTATTAGTTTG